AATTGTTCGTCTTGCTCTCAAACCTCCATAGGCAAGAACTCACCTTATTCCGAATCAACAGGATTGGCTTCATTTTTTTCATTCTCTGTCTCAATACAATATTCAATTCGGAACGTTCAATGGCTTTGGTAGGTAGAAAATTATGTTTTGAAAAACACAAGATATACTTTTTTTTGTTGAACTCACCGTTTTCAAGTAAATAATTATTTACCTTGGCAAAAATGATGTTTAAATGTGCCTGTTTTTTCGAAATCCTTTATAGAAATCATTTGAAAGTTTGCATATGGTGGTTTGAGACCATGCATAACAATATTATGAGGTTTATACTGTTCCAAATTTGGTAGGAATCGCATGATTAATAGCCGAGATATAGAGGGGTGCCGTTTAAAGTGAGACACGCTGTATACTTAGTTGTTTTCTCCCTCGATTGAATTGTACACCTGTGTGGATGACTTCGAGTTTATCACTCACTGTTGGAATATTCAATGTCATATCTGAATTACCGTTTGGTGATGAGGATATTTACTTTTAGGGCGTGCCACATTCCTGGATAACTTCAACGACATGTCAATATCACCTTCCAACGTGTCGATGACATGTTTGGGATCATTTTTATATCATGATCAAGTCTCGGAAGTATCCCTTATCTAGTTAGAATAAGTAATTTAAGGATTTGCTCTACATTTCAATGAAAAACTCCTTCGAAAATAAGTAATTTAATGTATAAAAAGAGAGGTTTGTAAGATTGAAAAACAATAAACGGTTACAAGATTCACACATTCTATGAATACAGTAATAGGTACTAATCAATAATGTAATTCGGGTGGACAACGAGCATTGGATCCTCTTCGGTTTCTTGGTCTGAACCTTTTAATCCCACTCTCGTCAAGGGAATGATAATTTGATCCTATAAAATAAATAAAAATAAAATTTCAAAAGTCAAATTGATGATTATGCTCTAATACTTGGAATAAAACCATTTGAATACTCTACAATGGGGTTGTACAGGTTTATCCATCGAGAGGGCCCACCCCTATATTTACCTTATTAAAAAAAAAACAATCCGCGGAAGTTGAATGCTGCGATGAGGCTACTCCACAGCCCTTATCAAAAGTTTCAATCAGTGGTACCTTCTAGGCTCTAAAGAGTGGTGATATAAAGGAGTGAAAATAGAAGATTACACTCTGTATATATATTTGTGATCACTCTATTGCAGAAGTGGCAGAAAGAATTCTAAAGAGAAATGACAACATTTTCGACAGTAATTACACAAGTGGTAGTAATTTTTCAATAAATTCAAGTAGTGTTTCACATCATAAATGGAACCATTCCAGAAAAAAATTGTGCTTGTTTCGAGTCATGTTGAAACTCATGTAGCCAGCTCTTAGACCATATTATCGATATCAATCTAAGTACACTCACGTGGTATATGAGGCGGTCGAGCACTTTCTCGAACATATCCTTCTTCTCTATCAGTTCCTCTTCGGTCTCTATTTGATCTGCCACGTGGTTCAGGTACCATTCAACCACATCACTTCTATGGATTCCCTCCTTCTCTTCTGCAAACAGGAAAATATGGGTTATAATCAAATACACTATACTGTTTTACCACTAACCGGACCAATTTTTCTCGGTTTCAACAGAAAAAAAACGAATGCAGAATGTTTTATAATCTAATGTCATCTCCTATCTAATTTACAAATATTTCATTCAATGGCAAATAATGATCCAGGATATCAAAACGAAAATTAAGGAACAAACTTATATCCCAACCATACTTGCATCTGATTTTCCGTAGTTTTGATATCTTGGATCTTTGTTATCTCTTGAAGCGCACGAAAGGAAATTCCTATAATGTTCGTGGAACATCGCGTTTCTATGAAATAAAAATATGAATATTATTTCATTATACGTGTAGTAAGGTTAAATCAGATGATTTGCCCCAAAATGTCACTGCGTTTAAAGAATTTTCCTATCAGAGAGCCTAAAAGAAAATTTCACTATCTTGTCAGTGACAATTTGTATTGAAAAAAGTTTGGAGAAGAGAAATAAAGGTATAAAGGGCGTTCCTTGAAGACATGCTGATATTTGAGGTGATTCTTTGATTCGTTTTAAGAAGAAAACTTCACATGAACGTATGTCCTTAAAAGTCTTAACTTTTGAGATACAGGGTGATGAAGTTTTGAAAAACATTCAGTTTCTTGATACTAACTGAAACAATATTGTATACATCTTCATGAAATGTGGTACACGTCTTTTATGCATCGAGGTGCATTTTCTGATGAACAAAAATTTTCATTTTCTCTACCAGTGGCACCGTTACGGGAATATTATTATTTATATTCCACTTAAAAGTGAGCAACGACAAAAAAATTCAAGTTATATACAATGTCATAAAAGGCTATTCAATTATGTACAGGGTGGCCAACTAAGAATTCAGAGTTCGATACCTCTGTTGTCTTGAGAGATACAAAAAAAGTTTTGCATTGAAATTGAAGTGATAACCGAGCTTCACATTTCAAAATTTCTTTGAAATACGCAGGGTGTTCCGTAAGGTCACAGCACATCAAAGCTATGTCTTTTTCATTGAAACACCCTATATTTTATTTCATTTTTGAATTCTCCCTGAAGATCTGATTTCAACGACGTATCATACTTAGGGTCTAGCAGTGAAAGTTACTGACATATAGGGTGTGCAAAATCGAGATTTTCCAAGTTCAGGATTTTTTTCTGTCGAAACTGTTCATTATTCGTCAAAACGGTTTTCATTTCCCTATCTCAACTTTTCACTCACTATCAATTGGTGTTCAATCGAAATTTAATTGAAACAAATTATAAATTCTGATTTTTTGACCACCTTGTATCAATTTCAATTGAACACCAATTGATAGTGAGTGAAAAGTTGAGATAGGGACATGTAAACCGTTTTGACGAATAATGAACAGTTTCGACAGAAAAAAATTCTTAACTTGAAAAATCTCGATTTTGCACACCCTATATGTCAGTAACTTTCACTGCTAGACCCTAAGTATGATGGGTCGTTGTAATCAGATCTTCAGGGAGAATTCAAAAATGAAATAAAATATAGGGTGTTCCGATGAAAAAAACATAGCTTTGATGTGCTGTGACCTTACGGAACACCCTGTGTATTTCAAAGGAATTTTGAAATGTGAAGCTCGGTTATTACTTCAATTTTGATTCATGAATTTTTTTTGTATCTCCCAAGACAACAGAAAAATCGAACTCTGGAGTCTTAGTTGGCCACCCTGTACAAAAATGATCCTCTTGTTGATACTCGATAGAACGATTCGTTTTCGAGAAAAAACGGAAAAACGAGACCAAACTTCAAATTTGGATGTCTGAGTACTTTCAGGACATTCATTACTGGATAACCACAGTATCACATTTTGAAATTTGTATACCGATTCAGTCACATAGCAGACTGAATTTTGCCAGCACAAAGAGCAATACAGGGTGGACAAAAAAAACTATGCATATTTTCAACATTGATACGTTCATATGAAGTTTTATTCTTGAATATCGGCATATCATTAAGGAACACCCCTGTATAGAAAAAATATAAGATTTTCACTTAGCTTTGGACGTTTCGGGAACGAATCTGCTCCCATTCTCAACATGAAAATACAAAATATTTGTCTTTGGAAGTTGTGCTCTGCTTATTGTTTGACACTTCTCAGTGTCATACTGATGTTGGCATATACACTTACCATGCTCACCATGGGTATCTTTTTAACGGTGAGAGATACGAGGTCGGTTAAATGACACCAAATGTGGAGTTCGTCAAGGCCAACTATAATGTGAAAAAATATTTTGATAAAATCTATTCGTTTTTGTTTTCTACGCAAAAAACAGATTTTGATCATTTTCATGTCTCCTCCGTAACTTCTTTATTTATGAAAATATTCAAATAGGAATTTCACATTCTCATGGCAGTTTTTCAAAATGATTTCGAAAAGAATATGGAATTTATACCAACTCTTCTAGAATTTGAGATATCAGCACCAACTTTAGTTTTTCAAATGTAGGTCATAGCTCACTATGACTTGGTTACAAATAACTTTTTTTTCTCTTACAGATGATGTGTCGCAGTAATAGTAGTAATTTTTTTTAATTTCAACAAAAATTCCATAATGAATTTTCACCGACATTATGAACACCTGCCAAATTTCAAGTTAATCGGAGATGGAATTTTCGCTGAAATTAAAAAAAATGGCTGCTCCAAGATGGCGGACAAGATTTGGTCCGATTCCATTCAAAATTGGTAAGTGGGAGTTTCTGAGGTCGGAGATCATGATTTTTTTATTGAAATTCATAAATTCAAGATAGCGGCTTTGAAATATTTTTTTGTTTTTGTATAAATGACGATAACTCCGTTGTTATCAACACAAAACTATTACTGCCACACATCATCTGTAAGACAAAAAAAAGCTATTTGCAACTAAGTCATAGTGAGCTATGACCTACATTTGAAAAACTAAAGTTGGTGCTGATATCTCAAATTCTAGAAGAGTTGGTATAAATTTCAAATTTTTTTCGAAATCATTTTGAAAAACTGCCATGAGAATGTGAAATTCCTATTTGAATATTTCCATAAATAAAGAAGTTACGGAGGAGACATGAAAATGATCGAAATCTGTTTTTTGCGTATAAAACAAAAACGAATAGATTTTATCAAGATATTTTTTCACATTATAGTTGGCCTCGACAAACTCCACATTTGGTGTCATTTAACCGACCTCGTATCTCTCACCGAATATTTCCATAAATAAAGAAGTTACGGAGGAGACATGAAAATGATCGAAATCTGTTTTTTGCGTATAAAACAAAAACGAATAGATTTTATCAAGATATTTTTTCACATTATAGTTGGCCTCGACAAACTCCACATTTGGTGTCATTTAACCGACCTCGTATCTCTCACCGTTAAAAATATACCCATGGTGAGCATGGTAAGTGGGACACACTGTATATTGAAATAATACGCATATTTTCATTTTATAGAAACGAGGATAAAATCCCAAAAAAATCAATAAAATTAATGTACCACCTCCTCGATTAACCTACAGACAGTATGTATATCTTTGTTACACTGGTGAGGCTTCTCAGACCCCAAAGCTGTTTACTGCACTGTCACTATCTTGCTACCTAACCAAAGACTGAATTTCCACCAGGATTTCAGAACAAATAACAGAATGAAGTGACTTAAAACTTGTCTGGCCATCTGAGAAAATGTGTCACTTCTCAAGTTGTTATCAATGCATGAAACCTGTCATTTTTCGACGTTTGTAGAAAAATGTATATTGAACCATCACATTTCGATTATTATCTTCAATTATAAAACAATAATGAAACCCTGCATAAGATTACCTGCTTCCAATCTGGTCTCCTCCCTCCTCATATGCACCACAATCATATTGCTGATGGTCTTGTACTCCTCGAAGCTCAGCAGCATCTTCTTCTTCGCCGCCGCTGCTTCGGTAGGCCTCTCCTCCATTACTCCTTCCTCCACAACGTCTTGCATCTCCTCCTCTTCCTGATCGGCCCCCAGCTGGATGTCGGGCTGCTCCACCCTGATAATAGAGATATGATCAAATTCATATTCCCAATAGTATGCTTTATTGTTATAACAATATATTTGATTCTTCTTCTTCTTCTTTTTCTTCTTCTCTGCACAGGTGGGCGGGTGCGTAGAACCCTGCACTAAGGCCTCTTCAGTCAGGCCCATTGTGCGCCCACTTGTCCTGTGAATCAGCTGGGCATGCCGATTTCTTTGACGAAATTCAGCAGCTTCCTCAGCTGAGTCACTTTCACATCCTTTGGGTGGTACAATGCTCCCAAAAGCAGCTTTCCTCTGATGCACCAGCGCGGGGCATTCAGTGAGTATGTGTGATGATGTTTCATCATCCTCCAAGCACCATCTGCAGATGGGATCATCTTTGATCCCTATGAGTTCTAGGTGCCTGTTGAGGTGGTTGTGCCCAGTTAAGAGCCCAACTACCATCTTGAGATCCCTTCTATTAAGTGACAGGATCTCTCTCGTGAGCCTTTTTGAAGGTTCCTTTATATGGAGCTTTGATTGTCTCATTCCTGGTGTGTCCCGCCATGTTTCAAGGAACTGCCTCTGTAGCATTTCCTTCATGAAGGACATAGCCGTACTATTGGGTATTCCCAATATCGATTCTGGTCCAATGGGTGCTTTTTTCGTCTTTCATTGTCCTCCACAAAACATGAGAATAGTTCTTCCCAATAGTCAGCTCAAGTGGAGTTCTAGAGAAAAAATTTAAGAAATGCAAGACTTTCGAAAAAAAATCGAATTTTTGTTCCAATGGCAAATTGAGGAGAAATCACGAAAACGTCCCAGTGTATCATAATATGACTGACTTTTGATCAGAAAAAAGTTTCTCGAGTTCTGGCAGCATTGGAAATGTAGACCTTAGTGTAATGGTTCCACTTTACACCCTGTGTAAGTTTTGTTCTGCAAACTTTTTCAGAGTGTTCTAGCTCTCTTTGAAGCCGATGAAACATCACATCTGATATCGAAAACCGCATGAAGATCGGTCATTTTTTTCAAAAAATACAGTTTTTCGAAATAGAGTCAAATTATGAGTGGTCCATTTAATGTGTTGAGAACTGTATATGAACTCAATTGTTAACATTATTTTCGATATTATAATGACGTGATATGTCTATGTCATGAATGTCATTGACTGATGACATTTAGAATTTTTGAAATGTCATTTTGATTTATAACATACTTATTTTGACATAATTTGTTGATATCGTTAAATTTGACACTCTGCTGAATAGAAAAATAGTTCAGTGGCACAAAATAGATGTTACACAAGGAAAGATTTATCGGAACTCTCTATATTCAATGCGGCCACGTTGGTAGCATTGCAGAGAGAGATGGGAGAGGAGAGAACTTTCCTCTCTCTCTCGTTCAAGCGAGTGTAACAGGCTAAAATGTCACAAGGATTATGCTCACAATTAGGCAATACTCACATCAATTCAATGTCAATTCTAGATGTTTATCCTAAAAATTTTGATAAAAACAACAATGATTTTGGTATTTTATTTAATGGTCACTTTGGCACACTATTAATCAATTCAATACTATCACTCTGCTATTCGTCATTTCTTGATTCTCGTTCATAAAAATCTGAAGTGTGAGAGGAATTTCGAAGAATTACATTGTTCCAGGAAGATTCATTTTCTCATCATATACCACCGTCTTCATCATCGAAATTCATTGGCTCCGTAATACGAAAAGTTATTACACCACCTATTGTTTCATTCAACTTAGACATCATGTATCATTGAGCTGGATACCTGTAAATGAAATAAAACAATGAACTATTTACTTTGTGAACAGAATTCTATCACGTCGTCGAATCAATATAAACTCACCTGGTTATATTCCTGCAACGGTTACGCATAATCACATATTAATCGTATTAAATGTATCTGGTTTATCATTGATTGGATATGTTGGTGATTGATTTCTTTCCTCGAGTTATGCACCTGTTGAGCAGTTTGTTTATATTTCAGTCATTCCATCTCGTCAGATCTTCGAATTATTTATTGTCACCTGATTGTCACCTGTCTCGTACGTCGAAAATTATCGTCGTTAGCATGCGCGACTCGGACGTCGGTCGAGCACAGACCATCACTTGCGATATGTGAATATAATTTTTATTGAAAACGAGAAGGATGGGAACATGCAAGTAATTTACGAATCATTTCGGATTCCAGCATTGTTGAACGATTGATGAAATACCAACTAATGAAACGTTCAATTTCATATACCTGTTGTTTTTATAAATAGGCTGAAAACACGCAGATTTTGGCGCGATATCTTTCTCAGGGAATTTTGATGATAGCGAGTTGTCGATCTTTGGTCATCTTGGTTGAAAAATCAGAATCGGGGAGAAAGCTTTGAGATTTTTGATAGTGAATACGCCATATTAGTGGTTCTTTCCGAATTTTTGAGGATTTTGCTGATTTCTGAAAAATTAGAGAAATTCAGTTGAATAGCAGATTTGCTAGTCTCCTTTTTGTTGGCGTATATAGAATCGATAATCGTGTGTTTTGATTCAATGCTCTTTCCGGTAAGATTTCAACTTTACGTTTTTTTTGTTTGGTTTCGTGAATATCGCTTTCTTTCAGACATCTTGATATCATAGAAGTTCACAAGATAAACCTGATAAGTGAGGACTAGTATAATTTTATTGAGGACCCTCCTCCCTACGATGTTCAGGAGGTGAGATTATCTATATATTTCTATTTTTCACATTTTGCTGGAATGTGTCTAGCATGTTATATGCTCATAGGGAATATCAACATGTGAATTCACATCTGAATGCGTTGATTGATGAAATAGATTACATTATTATCTCTTTCCAATTTATTTGGATTTTAAGTAAGATATTTTCGTTCTATCAGATTGTAGAGCATAAATTATTTCTAGGGTTCTTTTCTGAGGCATAAATTTCGTGCTAAATACCGAATAAGAGTTTTGCTGAATTTGCCAAGTAATTGCGGTATACGGAGTACTCCGATTGGGATGTGAATTGCTGCCTATATGAATCCGTCGATTCACCAGATGAAAAAGAGATGCGTCAACTCTAACCCCGAGCCAGTTTCTGGATGAGTATTAACCATACTTATTAATGCACATTTACCCGACCACTTTTTTTTTTATTCCTGAATTTTGGAGCGTACTACCAGGTGTCCTATTTGAAGATTAGCTGTCTACTATTATCAGCACAATTGTTGTGACATATTAGAATATTATATAATTATTCCCCAATTGTTCGTTGAGGATGCCACTTTGATTGGTATCTGTGATGTGACCAATTTCATTTTAGTTTTACCATTAATTAATTACACTTAATCATCGGAAACTCACTGTGCGCCTTATATAGCTATATTCGGACATCACGATATTGTTATTCAATTTTAGAATTGGCTATTGTTCACCTCGTACACCAAAGGGACTCGTTCATCCCTTTGATTTTGATCTTTTTTATTCTGGAAATCACAGTGTTTTCTATATTAATTAATATGAATAAATCTTGAAATAATAACTTTGATTGCTTGGTTTCCCGTTTTACTGTTGGCTTTCTAGCACACTGGTGGCACAGAGGTTATTTTAAACGGGTGGCGTCCAAAAATTTTATATATATATATTTATAATTGTGTTCAGTTGAACCCGCTCCCACACTACTGAGCAAACCGGCTGCCTCTGGCCAGAAAGCTAGGTAGTCATTATTATTTTGGTAGAGATTTGTTTTAACTCGTAGGAATTCGATTATGTAAGTTGCACCCGTCACACTGGCGCCCAACGTTTTTTTTTTCTCACGCTTGGTAGTATTGCATAAATATTGAATAGGGTTACTGTTTGGATGTTTTTGCGTCTGATATTTCATCATTTTGATTTTTTTTTTTCTCTCTCATGATTCACTTAAAAGAATTTAGGGTACAAGGTGGCTCAAGTTCATGAAAGTTGATACTTCCTATACTTGAATATTTTATACATTCTCGTACTCACATGCTTTCAGGGTACCCATATTCACAAGAAAAAAAATATTTTCCATATTTTTTTTTATTGGATGAGGGGGTGATTTAGTTTATTGGATTTCGAATAAATTCTACCATATACGTACCCACATATTCGGATTTGTATATATTTTTTTTTGTTCCCTCTTTCTGCTGATTTTCTCAATTGTTTTTTTTTCATGATGGAGATAAATAGACTTCGTAGTGACGAATTAACTTGGGAATTGCTCAGTAGAGGTTCGAATTTGGGCGACGGCACTGTAGATCAGAAACGTTGCATACTTAGAGAAGTGATTAAGAAAGAAAAACTTGGTAATTTTAGTCAGCCTAGTATGACATTTGATCCTTGTAAAGAATTGGCAATTTGTGCTGTGAAACTAGATGAAGTATTTGGTGGTATTCAAGATTTCAATACCGAAAATAGGGTATACGAATATAAAACATTGAAAACTAGATTATTTCACGTTCAAAATAGGCTGAATAGAATAAATGTTTCTCATGTTGATCAACAAGCAGAAAAATTGAATCTAGCTGATTTATGCAATAAATTGTTCAGAAATTTAGATGAAGTATATTCCCTTAGTAATAATACTCGAGTAGCTGAAAACAATTCAATTTTAGACGAACCAAATATTTCTGAACCACATACTTCGATTATTGATCAGCCTAATGAATTACTACCTAACACTTCAAGTAGTAAAGTGCACAATTCATCAAGAAAAGAAACTCCGTTGGTGTCAAATAACGAAACTTCTCAAAACGAGGACGTTGATGATTTAATCGATGTCGGACAGGTGACAGGAATGAATTCGAAGGTGAAACAAAATATTTCTGTTCGGCAGGTGAATGACTCAGATGATGTCCAACAACATATTGCTTTCTCTGTGAAAGGTCTCAGTGATCGATTCAAAAATCTAACCACTCATCTGAATTATTCTCAGGATTTGCCCGCCCCTCAAGACAGTCAAAACCAACCACGCCGTGTTCAAATTTCTAATGAAATTGAGAATAT